AAAAGAAAAAGTACATTCAGCCAAAATAGTACATGTTAAAGAAAATGAAATGTATTTATCTGGATGTATGTGACTTTACATTCATCTACTACATATTTACCTCGTACCCTGTTTTCAGAACAAAGGAGGACATTTTCCTGTGCAGCATTGGTGCAAATCAAATCAACTATTAAACAAACAAAAGTAAATCTAACACCAACAAATGAAATCATAAAAAAGATATGGATATTGAATATCAATGTACTTTGGGTGAAGAAAAACAAAAATTAAAACAAAAATTAAGGCATAGCCGAACAAAACAAAAAATGGTAATCAAAGACTAGGACAGACACCAATTCTGTTGTGTATTTGTACCACTAAATGCAGTTGTGTAGGAAATTCCAATGAAACAGTTTTTAGAATGTCACCAGTACAAATACAAGGACAAAGCATTACTTTTCAAAGCCACTGATCTAATTTAGGAGGTTAAAATGCTTGAAGCAAACCCTGTATTCGCAATCCTGATGTTTGTGTTCATTATGGTAGATGCACATATCCACCTGCACGTACCTTGTTATCTACCCGAATGACCCTAAACTCTGTCTCCAAATGACGAGGTGTAAAGATAGCAAATGAAGTTCATAACTATCCCACTTAACTGTTCTTATAATACCACAAATTTAATTACCACCAGCTGAGGCAAAGAAAAACAGCTTCAAACATGTCTACTTCTTGACTGGCAGTGTGCTTACAAAAAAAAAAAAAACTTCTAAAAATGTCTGAAGAAAAGTAAATGAATAAATAACTTCCTGGAATGCAAATTGCAATGCTGACCATTAATGAATAAGTAAAATTGGTATATGTACACGGTTTAAAAACGATCAGCATCCTGAAACAGGATCAATGTATAATACAGGGAAACCTGTCTATAAAGATCCCTTAAGGGAGACAAGAAAAAATGTCTTTAGAGGCAGGTGGTCTTCATGTACATGTACAGGTTCCTTTAGTACCTGTTTCAATGAGAAACCATTTTCAAGGGAAACAAGAAATATGGTCTCTGTAGACAGGTGGTCTTTCTAACAACCATGTAAGGTAGATTTAAAAGTGAAATTTAGTGGCACAAAAAAACAAATAAAGCGGAACGTAACATGCATAATTACAGAAAATAATACTTTCAACGCATAGAGGTAGAACCATATCATTATGACATTTTCCTCTACAACTCTGCAAAACTCCTCAAAAAGCTAACAAAAGACAAGTTACCGTAATACACATAAATGTACACATAAAATACTAGGAATTAAATCTTGTAGTTTGTGTGCTTTTCAGGCAATAAAGGTGCATAATTTGTTACTTGAATACCGTTCAAGCACCATAAGAGAAATATCAGAATTTCTTTCAGATCTTGCTCCTATAATGAAAAATTAATTTGGTAAATTAACAAAAGTAAAATACAAAAGGTAAGAAGGAGGGAGCAAAACAAAAAATAGGAATTTAAAACAGGTATATACCAACAAACAAAAACATATAATCTTTCATACCACAATATCATAATTAGTATAAACATTTGAACTTGCAAATATATTTACTATTTATTCATTACATGATCGGTAATATTAATTTGAAAAAATAAAATCTTCCATGTACTAAAAAAAAGAATATCACTAATAAATCAGACATAAAATTTTGAGAATAAACTAAATCTAAATAAAACAAATTATTTTCATGCAACAGCTATCTAATCCCAAAAAGGTATTAAAAAAGATTAATTTACATGTTAGACTCTTGAAAACAAAAGAGTTTTGTATATACATAAGCTGCTAAAGACGTGACTAATAACTTCAACTGAAAATTCTTTAAGGTCCAATAGAGATGGTCTACAGAGGTTAGGTTTAAAGTACAAGTTCTCTCCAAAAATAACTTACTTTCAATAGAAGCAGGAAAATCAGACAAACCAATCAAAAAAAGTTTGAGCAAAATCGGATAACTAATAAGAAAGTTATGAATTTTTGAAAAAGTATGTAAAACTATAGAACAATGGAAATCACTACACAAATTGACAGATCATATTGACACACATCAGCTTCGCATTAAGTCTACATTTCCCAATCAAAGGAAAGAACTTAAGCCTGGTTTCAAATAGAATTCAAACCCACATGTAAAACAGAAACTCTCCCGTTTGCAATGTTTGAAACCCCACGAGTTTCATGCTGCAAAATTGAATCACTACTGAAACACTGAATTCTTGCATTTCACAAATGTTTCTTGCTCTTGAAAATCAATGTTGTTGTTTACATATCATGAAAATTTTGTGTTGTAATTTAAGTTTCTGGTTTTTGCAGTACTCTGGGTTATGCTTGGTCCAAATTCAAGTATCAAAATAATGAACTTTCACTGTGTAGCTTGCCCTTGTTAACACAACATTGTCACAGCATCAAGTTAAACTGAATGAGTAGAATGTGGACCTTGGTGTCATAATAGCATCTGAGCCCCATTTCACAAAACATGTCACCAGTGACAAATGACAGTTTTTGTTTCTTTGCTTCTGATTGGTAATCAGCAGATTTGTCACTGATTTTTGTCATTTGTCATTGAAAAGAGGCTTTGTGAAACGGGTGCCTGAAGTACAGATCCCCGTCTTGGCTTTGAGATCGATTGCAACTTTCCACAAACATGACACACATAGGCAATCAAAACTGTGTGACTGATTGGAGGACTTGCGACAGACCTGGGCCAATCAAGGACTGGTCCTGAACTTGCTTCGTCACTCTCTCCATCAGCACAAGAGTGAATACATCTTGTATCCACTTCTACAAACTCGACACAGGGATCTCCTAGTCATCAATGTATTCAAATTTACCATTATAATGTAACATGCTGATAGTTTCTATTACATGTATTAGAGAAAATTGATCTTCTCATGTACAGAATCTTCAAAACATATTTCATATACACTGTAGTCATTGAATATCACTTTTGTTACAGTTTGCACATAAATCATTTAACCTTTCCGTGTTTGATTTACCTTGTCTATTTTCCTGCAGCAAAATATCAAATTTGCTATTCATAATCACATAATTCCAGTCAATTTCCATTAACAAACACCTTTCCCATACACTCATCACGACTGGAGGTGCACTGTACACCTAAACAATTGTTATATTGCTGCTACGTACATGTATAGAATCTATAGATTACTGGCATGATAATACTGGTTACCTTAAAGCATTTAAAATCCCATACCTTGTTAGGATGGCATATACATGTATATGCTACCAAAATAGAAATATTTTACAATAAATAGCACTCCATTTTTCTTTCTACTATATATACAAGTTGGTCATCGAAGGGGTACCAACAAGAGTCTAGACGCTCCAGAAATTCTGGTGAAACCATGTGAAATTTGTGTTTTCTTTCTCTCTCACTGTCATCTACTGATGTTACCTGATATTGTTCTCTTCTTTGTATCTTCTTTTGGGGTAAAATTGTGAAAATCTAACATATCTGAACTTCACAGAAAAACATAGGAATCTCTCATAGCAAAATTAGAAATACAGAGTATTTGTAAGATTCTAGAATTCATAACATTAGTTTAAAGGCCAAAAAAAATAGGAATTGTTCCTCCAGAACGGGAATGGTTGGCAACAATGCTCTCACATATTACGCAACGTATTAATAGTCATTGTTCTCAAATACAGATCTGTTCATTAAAGTATAGTACAAAACCTGTCATTTAGCAAATTAAGTGAACTACAGGATTTCATCAATCTTGATTAAAATGGATTTGTATCTTATAGCTAACTCTAATGGAACAATGTACATAGTTATTGATTTAGCAAGTAGTACTGAAATCACAGACACCACAATGGGTCTTGGTTGAGAGTTAGTCAAAAGTAGTCATCAAATTTTAGAAAATGAAATGAAATCCATTCTCCGAAAAATCATTAAGTAGATTATGAAACCTTTACTTCTAAAGACGTATCAGATTTGGAGATTTATATTTTGGTAAATTGCTCTGCAGGTACCAAAGTTTCCTTCTGGCCTAGCAGGTATGCCAAAAAAATAACAGTTTTGAATAATGATTAAGATTGATAAACAAACTTTTGAAATAGTCCACCATCACCTTTGCCCTCCAGAATTGGGGCCATTTTTCCCCTTCTTAATATCAAAGTGTCCAATTCGGGGCAGTATAATGCATACTTAATATGGTTACATTCAAGTTATACAGGATTCTATGAAACATTACGATCACTTGCGGGCTTGTGATGGAAAAGTGTAATAAAAGGTTGGATAAACAGAGAAAAATTTTGAACAAAAAAAGAAGAAAACATCTTGGAAGTATTCAGTATGAGAAGCCTGTAACCTAGCACACGATTGCAGAGTGAGCTTAGCATATGAGCTGCTGAGAGCCAGAAGGCATTACCTTACATGATTTACACAGAGCTAAGGCCCTTCTGCCTTTCAGCTGAAACTATAAAAGGTTTGTTGATATTCAGTACATGTACGAGTAGTGGCACGTAGCATGGGTCCAACCATTGAGAGGGCACTGACATTAAGGGGGTGTGTGAGGGAGGGGGAGGGGGGCTATGGTAAAGAGAATGTGAATCGATAAGGAAACCAATAGGCCATTGTCGTAATGCAATCAATAGGCCGTTTTCGTAATGTAACCAAATTTAATGCATAGGTCTTGGTGAAGTGCCTCAATAAAAATTATTTCATTCACCTGATAAGAATAATAGTATTTCAATAGTCAGAATGTAAGCTGCATATATTAAGTGTTGCTACATGTAGGTAGGTCAAGCCATAATGTTTGTCCTACCTGGCAACAACTACTGTATGCAGTTCGAATTCTGTTTATTGAAACACTATTATTCTTATCAGGTGAATGAAATAATTTGTATTGAAGCACTTCACAAAGACCTATGCATTAAATGTGGTTACATTACGAAAATGGCCTATTTAATGCACAAATCTTTGTTACACTGTAAGTGCCATTACAAATGATTTCATTCACCTCTTACGAATAATTGTATTTCAACAGTCAGAATGCGAATAACATGCATTGATTGTTGCTAGGTGGGACAAACATTATGGCTTGTCCTACCTCAGTATGCAATTTGCATTCTGACTGTTGAAATACAATTTTTTGTAACAGGTAAATGAAATAATTTGTAATGGGGCACTTAACAAAGATTTGTACATTGAATTTGATTACATTACGAAAACGGCCCCTTAGACAGATCAGGGTCCTATTATCTTCTTTCTCATCCTTTTCTGCACTCTCTTTCTCTGGTTCCTTGTCTACCTTTTCTGTATTTTTTTTTGGCCATTCAAAGGGGGGATGGGGGGGGGGGGAGGGGCACACACCTGAAAATTGTGTAAATTTACAGGGCATTTAAACTGGACTGTACATCATATGCTAAGTTTCAGGCTCACTCACAAGAGATCACACATCATGGATCACACATCATATATCCTGGCTTCGTTGTTGCGTCCGACTCTGAAGGTAGGGCTGATACCCCTTCTCAGTTGGCGTCATACATCATGATAGGCCTTGGCGTGCCCGTTGGCCTTCTCATGCTCCGTCAAGATGCGCCCATCTACAAGGTCAGAGTTCACCATCGGCAGGACGTTCTTGGACCGGGTCTGGTCAAACTTCGCCTGAAAAGTAAAAGAGAGGTGGGCATTAAATATTTGATAACAATCGGAATGAACTATTTTTTTTCAATCATTGTCTGGTTCAGTCAACATTTTGGGCTGACCAGGTAGAGAGAGTTGGTGTACATCATATGGAATGACTTATAGTCTGAAGTTTGAGGTTTGAAGTTTATTTGTTCCACATTTACATAAAAAAAACAATTTAAATTCTTTTTTTTTTTATTTACAAGCGTATAAGCGTAGAATAATCTAACTTCCGGATTCTATTCATAAGATTTCAGCCCTCAAAATCACTTCTATAGACCATCTATTAAACTCATTGATAAAATGGTTAACAGTCCATAGCTGTCAGGTTTAACTTCCAGAGCCCCAAAACATACCCCAAAAGCACACTCACCAGATTGTAACATGTGACTCCAAGCAGGGCCGTTGTCATACCGATGACGTTGAGGGGCGTGACTGGATTCTTAAGCATTATGAGTGACATGAGAACCACAAAGATCCTCTTGGAAGCATTGGCGATGGAGTAGCTCAGAGGAGTCACCAGGTTGAGGACGCTGAACGCAAAGATGTTCTGGAAGAAGTTGAGAAGACCACTGAAGAACAGGAGGGTGAGGGTGTATGACCAGCTGATAGTTGTAAGCTGTTCAAATCAAATCAAATCAAATCAAATCACATCACATCAAATCATGAAAACTGAAATGAAATTCTGAAATATGTTCTGAAATTCTAGAAGTTAAGAAGACAGATGGAGAACGATAGAGAAAGGATGTTCTGATTACATCGCATCATATACATGTATCTTATCGTATTGTTAATTTAAAAAAAAAAATCCTGACATGCTACAGTGTAATAGAAGTGGAGGAGGGCACTTTCATTACAAATGTTCAAAAACATAATTTGATACTTTTGAGTTTCCCACCACAAGGAAAGTCCCCCGACATTGTTATTGTATTACTTATATTCCTCGTACTCCAAACCTTGATCATTAGGATTTTACATATATGAATACCAATGTTGAATACCATTGCAAATTCTTCCCACATAGGATCAAATCAGGTTGTACAGTGTGTAGTACGCTTGAAATATTTTAAATATCTTCCTGTCTGAGGCTCTGAAGAATGATATGAACATTTACGATCAAAAGTTAATACGTTTAAGCCTTCTAGTCAATGTAAACGCAAAATCCGCTTGCAATATTCTTTGTCTTTCGAACCTTGATCATTAGGATTTCACATGTTTCTATTCAATAGCATTCAATAGTATTCAAGTTGGATAGGATGTTAAATGGAGGCCCCGTGTAGAGGAGAGTCACCACCTTTGCACGTTAAGAACCCACTGCACTATTTGTATGAGAGAAAGAGGAAACCCTGGTGTAGTGGCCCACCTGCACACCCCAGTATACCAGATGGACCTTCTGGAAGATTAGCCCTGTGCTAAACAAGTTACCCAATAAAGTCTACTACTACTACTATTGGAAATTCTTCCAAACTCTTATCGTATTCAGGTCATATAGTGCGCAGTGCGCTTGACACCTTCCTGAAGCCATCATCCTAGATGATCTTCTTGAACATTTGTACTTACCACTTTTCTATCTACAATGATTCTTCTGAAGTCCAAGAAACACCATATAGGCAGCAGCATGAGAGACCCTATCTGGCCCAACATCAGCAGCAGCCTTAGATGGTGGATCTTTAGGTCTCGAAGAGCCTAGCATAAAAGAGCAAACAAACATAATCTTGATTCATATCAAACATTTTTAAAAACAATTGTATGTGTATAAGAGCTGGAGAGCTTTAAGCTTTAAGCTTGAAACAAACTACATCTGAGGAACTAATGGATGATATATTACAGGTGAATCTTGTACATAGTATTTAGAGTCTCTAGCTCTTTGCATCTTAAATACAGTCTTGGTGTCTATGGACAATTGCATAAAAATTATCAAACTAATCATTTTACCCTCCAACAAATTCAACACAGTACAATGTTTGTGGAGCAAATGTAATCAACTTTTGTAACATAACAATTCAAGGTGTAGATTCCACATATAAACACCTGCCAAAATATCTTCTTTGCCAAGTAAAAATTTGTTTTAAATGAAATATCGAGTGCAACACAATATTGGTATAATTATTCAAGTAGAGCAAAAGAAAATTATTAAACTGCAACAGATGTTCGGAAACACATTGGTTCTACAAGATACTATCTGATTTCGTCCATGTATCAACAATGTCACTTGTAAGCAAATTGATTTACAACCAACAGCTGCTGTGATCAATGTACAGAATAATGCCTGATAAATCTGGTTAATTATTAATATCAGACACAATATGCTGTCCATATTTCAATACTAGATGCTTGTTGTATATTGTTGACTCTTTTCGTGCCCTGGGCAACCCACCTTGTCTAAAAACATCAAAGTACTATTGTATGTTTGGACTAACAGTACAGTAGCTACAAAACAAATGAACAGATAATTTTTCTATTTTTGATACATGGAAAGAAATTGGATTAAAAAAAAATGGAAACGAATACCTACCTGTACGTGTGTTGTGAAAAATGTTCACTATGGTTAAGTTCTACATGTACATGTATGCCTACCGTAAAAGACAATCTTATAAGAAAATAAGTCTTGAAAGTTTGTTTATGGGATGTTTTCAGAAACCTATGGGAAAGTAGATTTGAACTCCTTCCTTCACACATGCCTTTCTCACAAGTCAGAAGAAGAAAACATGCACAAGAAGAATATGTAGCAATTTGGACATTATCACTATAAACATGACGGACAAAGAAAGAGGACAAAATATACAGTTCCTCATTCTACCCTCAATAATTGATCTGGTAGACAAAGGAACATCCCTTCACTGCTATTATGTCTACCACAGCAATTGTTGAGGGTAGAATGAGGAACTGTATATTTTGTCCTCTTTCTTTGTCCGTCATGTGTTCATAATGTATGGTACTGTATGCTCACCCCTTCTTCAATCATAGAAAAACAATGGATGATCGGCATAATCTTAAACCTTTCTCCCACCCTCCTCCCTCCCCCCCCCCCCCTTCTAACAAGTTCAAGAGAAAATAAATAAATTTCAATTTACCTTTTTCGAGTATACATTCTGGAGGGCGAAGGTAATGGTGGAAGTCAGAGCGGCGATGAGACCAAACATATCAAAAGAGAGTTCAGTCAAGGTCGCAATCATCACACCACAGATGATGGGAACTAATGCTAAATATACCTGAAAATAGCAAAAAATATATACATGTACAGTGTATTCAGGTCAGTATAACAAATCCAGGTCAAGATAACAAAATATTTACATTGCAACCCATGTGTGTTCGGTAATCAGGTATATCCTTCACCTGCTCTTATATTTTGTACTATAATTGTACGAATGCAAGTGCATTCCTTGCTTCACTGGAGTGAAAGTTTCGCATTAATGAAACATATTTGTAACTGTATATTTTGGTATTACTATTTTTAAATGAATCTATTTAATTTTTGACTTATATAGTTCACCAAATATAATTGTTACCTTCTCAGCTATAAATCTCCCTCATTGAAAAGTATAGGTTTTTTGTTATTGAATTTAAATGTCTCTATAGCTAAAGCTTGGTGCATGATACATAGTACAAGTTCGCCTTGTACGTCACATTATCAAGAAAATGGTTGCACCCATGTCACCCTAAATCTTCATTTGCATATCTCTTGTACACTTTTGTAGGGAATATTGTACATCAATAGACATGAATAAAAGTCCTCTTTCAGCAGACCAACACGTAATCTTTGGGGGTGAGGTTCCTTTCAACATTGATCTACCAGTCCAAAGTATGAAGTAGACACACCTCACACTATGTCTCATAATGCCGTCTATGAAATAAAGAGATCCAATCATCCAATCATGTGTGACGTAGTGTGATTGGCATCAACTAATCTTATGAGAAATACTGAATGCACTCCATGAAAGTGCCAGTATTTTTGTATGTTCAATCATCAAGAGCCCCTTCAAAAGTGTTGGGAGCCCAACATATTTGATAGCAAAATTTCACTGAAATCGTATCATAATATGATAATGTGAATTTCTGCAAGGATTTTCAAAACAATGTGTTTGAAGTTGAATATTGATGAGAAAATACAAAATTTAGGTTTACTGCGTACAACAGAAAACGCAAATAATGTATTCCTGTATCAATATTTGTCTTCAAACACATTGTGGGGGGGGGGGGGATCTTTGCAACAAAGTGCCTTAAATGACATCCTGTTTCACATCATAATACAATTTAAGTGAAATTTTGGCAAGTGTGGGGCTCACAACAGTAAAACACTTTGGAGGAGCTTTAACATGAAAATAGGAACCAGCAGCAGTTCACATATGGATAAGTGGCTTTTTCACTTCACTTTTAATCAAGAGGTTCAGAGTTTCATTGCTGGTGCCTTATATCTGTGGAATATTAAATGATGTTAATGTTCCTGGTGGTGAATTCTCTGTAATTTACTCTCGGTCGATAAAATATGGTGACGATAAAACAAATACAAAGTTAATGATTATCACAGAACATTAAACAGAAAGTATTATTTCATCATCACATAAAAATCATGATTTAATTTTGTAAAACATTTACATTTATCTTGTTTTTTAAATTTAAATTTTAGTGGAATAGAATTCTGGAATGACAAGAAGACTGTACATCAACTACATGTACAGCATGCACTAGCTGGGCCCGGTTTCATAAAAACGTGTTATCAATAACAAGTTACAGCATGTACATTAACTGTTATAAGCTACTGAAAATCGTGGCATTTGATTGGCTGAGACGGGGTCCTGATATTGTTCATTCAATTATTAACAGACATCATCACAGATCTTGGTGCTCTTCAGCAAGTATAGAATAAATAAGCTGGTACTTTTACAGAAGTCTAAAAATATATTTTCCAATTGGGTAATAATCAGTTGGTAGCATTGACCTTTAATTTTTTTCAAGGCTACATGTAATAGATCACAGACTATTTGCAGAGCGATTACACCACTTTTGAAAAGTCAAGTGCATAGAAGTGTGGGAAATGGCACACAGATTGCCCACATATTGGTACAGAACAGGAAATAAAGGATCTGCTTCACTGTTAATCAAAAATAATTCTGCTGGATGGGGTAATTAAGAACATGTTGATTTTCACGTCACACAATTGCTGGTACTTAGAATACTAGTAGACCATTTATGTTTTATAAACTTCTGCATCTTTTACCAGTCTACTTTTACCAAGTTGCCAAAGCTATTTGCCTATTATCAGTTTATGTTTTGTTTTTCATCTTCTAACATTTGGAAATTTTAATCTAGTCTTGAAGATATGAACTACATACAGTATGTATGTAACATGTTCAAAGAGTGCCGTTAGATCTGAATTTATTGCAATTGCAAATCCTACAAAAATCTGAAATATGCATGACTTTGTGATTGATTGTGGTTTTTTAAAGTTGAATGTGGAGCCTCGGGACAAATTGCTAACTCTTATATTAAAGACAGAGCATTGAACACTCTGCTTCAGTCAGGAGAAATAAAAGATGTATCACTTGACCTTTAAACCCTGAACCAAGATTTTTTCAACAGTGTACACAAAGTTTCACAAATTGTCCCAAATCATTAACTTTATGTTCTCTTTTTTTTATTCAGACTCCTTAACCGTTAACTCAGAGAAAACCTTATTACATGTTCTAGTGAGACACAAATTATTTTGTTTGGTACATTTCAATATTATTTAAACTACCGGTATACTAGGAAAAAAAAGTGTTCTAGTGAAAAATACATCTCAGTAATTCAATATGCCAATTGTCTTACCTTTGTTGTTTGTTTTTCTCCTAGGACCAGCCGTGATAAAAATACTGTAAATATTGGCATTGTGGCTTTCACTGCAAAGAAAAAATACATTAGTGCAAACATGAGATATATCATCTAAGCAAGAAAATTATTCACAAATCTTGAAGCTTAGAACTCCTACTGACAGCAAATTGGATTATATTTACATACCAGGTACATTAATTATTCTTCTGTCAATAAAAAGGTACATGTACAGTGTAGTACAATGTTTCTTTAAGTTAAGTTTTTGTTTTGTTTAAAGTAGACACACGAAGAATCAAAAGTGTTTTGAATTGATGCAAAACTCATATCATTGCGAAGGGGAAGCCTTGCTGATCAAATACAATAACTCTTTTCTTCAAATATGTTTGGGGGCCCGCAATAATCAACTCTCAAAAATGATAGTGTTGAGATCCAGATTTTCTGCCTTAATCAACTGTCCTTTATAGAACGTCAATATTTGTGACGTCAGATACGGGACAAGGCTGGCTAGCTGCAGACTGCTACACGGCACTGAGCTGTTTGTCCAGTGTGTGACGTCACTATTTAGAGCTCGCTACGCTCGTGTGTTTGGCTTACGTTTGGGGGCGCTTGGGGGTCTAAGAAGGGTCTTGAAAATTGCATTTTACGCCTTTCCATGATATCTATATGAATTCTTAGCAAATTATTCATGTTTTTCAAGAGAAAAATCTTTCCATCGATATGTAATTTGTTCTAATTATCAGTTGTTCGTGAATTTTCTTTGTGTAGCTCCTTTAATAATACATCAGGGAAAAATCACACGGGTGCTCCCTAAAATGCCAAAATTTGCATAGAGTTCAATGCAAAACAAATTAAATAGTGTTATTTTCATGAAAGCAAGCTTGAAAAGTAGCCCCACAAATTGTTGAAATATTTTCAAAACATGTACTCTCATGTATAAAACTTTGTACACAGGTAAATATAATCTGCACCTGAAGTCTTGTTAGTGCCATACTGACTGCACCGCACACAACCACTCTGCAGTGTGTTAAAGATAAACTTGAGTTCTGGTAATGTGATTGCATTGTGAAAGAAAAGGTGTGGAATGAATCAGAAAAGTTGATCATATAGCATGTAAGTAATGGTGTGTAATGCAAGGTTCTGGAGTCATCAAAATCATCATAAATTTGGCAGAGTCTTAGTAAAGTAACAATCACTTACACAGAAAGATGTATATGGGACAACACACATGGTGTCGGGGCTAGTACTACCCTGATTTCCTTAACTTTCTATGCTCATTACTCAGCCAGTATACATTTTCTTCCAAAATTGTTTGGCACATGACATATATTTGTAATCTTGAACATTCAGTGTAAGTTTCGTTAGATTTTGTGAGAATTCATTTTCTTTTTTACCAGAACTCAAGTTTATCTTCTTCAATGATGAAGGATGCACTTTTGACAGAAGAAGAAAGAAACATTGTTTCCATTTCAGTCCATTTCAATTAACAATTAACAGTGATCAACTTTTCCAGTTTCTTCGATGAGCAAAACCTCAACTTTTTAACTCCTGACCGAAACCCCTACCCCCCCCCCCTCACAAAAAATGAATCCCAAAATGAAAAGAAACTCAAGATCCTAACAAGTTCCATTTGGAAGCCTTGGAAGAACATTTAGGGCAGGGCCGTGCCATTAGACTTTAGAAAATTCATGACAACTGATAATTATGGACATATTATATATGGATGGATAGATTTTCTCTTGAAAAACATGAATAATTTGCTGAAAAATCATAATTATACTACTTATGCTAAGGCCAAAAATCTGGATCTCAAAATTAATGGGACGCAAACTTATTTTGAAGAGGCAAGTTGTTAAAGACTTATATTTGATCAGTAATGCTTCCCCTTTGGCTTTGCAATGATATGAATTTTGCGTCAATACACCAGTTTATGGTTATGGGCGCCATTTTAATTTGCGGGTAAACAAACCATTGACCTCTAGAGGTCAGTGGTTTACGCATAAATTAAGATAGCGCCCATGCAAATATGATGTGAGCGCACAGCGCAGGCAGTGATGTCATCAATGTTTTCAGATGCGCATGTTTTGTTGCGTCACAGCCTGCACTGTGTTGCATAGGCCCCGTCTTGATTTACGCGTAAACCACTGACTTCTAGATGTCAGTGGTTTGTTTACTCGTAAGTAAAAATTGCGCCCATATGTCTGCACATGCACAATGTTTTAACCGTAAACTGGTGTTTTAAAAACGCTTTTGGTTATTAGGCCGGCCCGGGTGACTACTTTAACTTTTTTAAGAAAGAAAAAAAAAATGAAACTGAGTGAAATGTTAGATGAGTAAAAGACCTCCTTGTCAGATCATTAAAAACACAAGTTTCTTTAGTTTAACTGTTACGAAAACATGAACGTGCGGTGTAGGCCTAACGTCCACTTGTATATTTTTTATAATCTACAAGTAGAAAAGACTCTACGGCATCTGCAAGAATCTTCAGTATTGAAGGAGGCAGATTATCTTGAACTTTGAAGAAGAAGAAGAGAAGATGATAAGTAATAACCTATTAGTAATTACCAGTATGTGCAAAAGATACTGAAACTTTAAGAATACTAAATTCTGCTGAAACTGATGAAAAAAACTTTCCGAATGCAAGAGGTAAAACCAAAATGAAGAAATGTCTTCTGTCAATGACTTCCGGAGCCGGCACATTCCAGAGTCTCAAAACCGGCTCCAAAAGTATCGCAACTGCCAGCATATGACACATTGAAACAGTCGTTGGATAAGGAAATTCCGTGAATAGATGTTTATTGATGACATTCTGTCCCAAGCTGCTTAAATACCACATGACACAAAGAAACAACAGCCGACTGGCTTCACGATAATTGTCCTTCCCCGCCGACATGTTGACCGGTGTCTTTGGAGCTAGCTCTAGCTCCCTCCTTTAGCGGAACGGTGAAGCGTTATTCGCCAGGAGTTACGGCGCACGAGTCTGTATAGCTACGTAGGCATTTTTCGTGGAAAGTTCTCAACGTACGTGGCATGCATCAACAACAAACAAATCTCTACCGGTACCGGTACGTCTACGTACAAGTGTGAGTGAGAGAGAGAGTGTGTGTGTGGTTCTATACTAATTCGTCCAAAGACAAATCGCCTCAATGGTCAATGAAATCGGGGGGGTGTAGGTGGGAGGGGGGGGGGGCAGGGGTAATGTTAGGATTTTTAAGAAAGTATTGACCTGTCATGGTTGCCCAACTAGTTTAAATTAGCTTTTACTCTTTAGTAATGTAATTTTACATTTTGATATATACTCGATGAGGTTTGCAGGGATCTAGGGGGGGGGGGGGGCCTCGGCGGTAGGCCTCCGGTTTAACCCCCTGGGCGGCCAAGTGAAAAAAAAAAGTAAAACGGCGCGATTTTGGGAAAATCCTCGGATCCGCCACTGGGTCAACCCCCTGGCAAAAAGCTAGATCCGCCCCTGGTTTGATAAATGTATTTCTATAACTGAATCGTTAGTGCCTTCATCTATAATTAGATGGGTGTTTACAAATATGATGCACATGCATGCATCTGGGGAGTGCCGAGAAAAAGGTTGATTACTTATCCACATATAAGGTTTTTGAAAGGGAGTGAGGGTTGTTATATGCCGCACGGACTAATTAACCACCTCCCCTCACCGGAGTACTAATTTGCTTCAGTGTGTCGAGTCTTCTACAATATTTGTAGGCCCAGGCGCGTACGCAGGATTTTTTCAAGGGGGGGGTTTTAACATTTATAATCGGTCCGAAAATTTCGCAACGACTCAGCCAGCCGCTGAATAAGGGGGGGGGGGGGGGGGGGGGGGGGTAAGAGGACAGTCCCAAAAAAATCGCAACGACTCAGCCGACCGCTGAATAAGCGGGGGGGGGGGGGGGGGGGGGGGGGGTAAGAGGACATTTTTTTTTTTTTTTTTTGGTCTCGAAATTTGGAAATTTGACATTTTGCTCCGTTGGGGGGGTAAGGTCACCTTTTTTAGGTCGGCCATGGGAATAATTTTTTTTTTTTTTTTTAATAATTAAAAAAAAAAAAAAAAAAAAAAAAAAAAAATCCAAAAAGGGGGGGGGGGGGGTTAAGGGGGGGGGGGTTTAGTTTTTTTTTAGGGGGGTTTACACACAAAAAATTTCCAAAGGGGGGGGTTTAACCCCCCAACCCCCCCCCCCCCCCCCCCCCCCCCCCCTGCGTACGCGCCTGTGTAGGCCTATCCATTTTTAAAACTCCAGTATGGGCCCATCTGTTTTCATAGGTGCAAATTTAACGACCGCCCCTTGTGAACAAAATATGAAACAGCCTTGAGGGTGAAAATTACATATGGCCAATTTCTTGAACTTTGGGAGGGTCGATGACATCCTACACCCCAAATACAAATAATTTCAGATGGGGAAAAAATTGAGCTGTATTTCATCAACTCCCTTCCTATCCAAGAGGAACCCACCAGGCCTGCGAAATTGTTCGTATATAATTACATGTACAATTATGCTAATTGACGGTCGTTATTTTCCCACTAAAAGCCCTTTTCAACCTTTTGTTTTGAGGGAAGTTCTAAAGGAGTATTGTCTTTCAAATGCCGTTGGAATTTAACCTTTATATTTTTGGCCCGCAAATGGGAAAGTGAGACAGTGGTATCTAGTGTGTGCATCCTACCCCACACCCTCGCCCCTCCCACCGCTCGAATCGGGTTCGTCACCTCAAACACCTCCAATTCCGGTAGTGAGTGGTTTAATAATGTTTTTAAAATGTCTAATAATACATTTTGGAGACAAAATGATTTGAATAAAGTATCAAAAATGTGCATCCGGTCCAATCATCGAGCCTTGGAGAAGTCAATCTGGGACGTCGGACGACATAATCTCGCCGAATTTTGCCTCAGAGAATGTCTTCTCCATAATAATACTTTAATTATAGTTCACCAAACAGACTTTACAAATTATGTTGAATACAAAAGATATAAGAAAAATAGATTTATTTTTATTTGAGTTTTTATTTTAATTCTTAAAATAGTTTTGAAGGAAAAATCTATTTTCATAGAGAAATATTAAACTATCTTTTGTAAAGTCTAAAAAATGGCAGCGCCCATGACAAGACTGGCAGGGAAATCACCTTACCGGGTATTTTTTACATTAACAAGGGCTGACGTTGGGTTTACGCAGGTGACAAATTATTGATATCATATGTAATATAAATGATAAACATTCACGTTCTTGGACAATTAAGTAATTCTTTGATATGTGCACCGATTGTGCGCTGCTTCTACATGTTCTAATTTAAAAAGTCGCAGCTCGCGCCCGATGATTTACAGATTAGATCTACGACTACGGCCGGGCCTAGACTATACTAGGTCTAACAAGTTAGGTAGACAGCAATAACCATCTGATTTGGGTCATTTCTTTAATAAAACTGACATTTGTTGTCATTCCTATAATCGGAGGTCTAGTGGAGCCAGACGTAGTCTCAGTGGAACAACCGACGATTAGAGAGACTGAAGCTTTCGGTGTAAGGTCTAGGCTACTTGCAATACTGGAATATTAGGGGATCACCGGGGATGTGGCGCGGCCGAGGCCGAGGCAGCCGTTTGTGGCGGCTGGCCCTAGGGCCAGCTGTGGTGGCCTGCGGAGTGCTGTTTTGCTGGTCGGTCGCTTGCACATGCGAGAGATGTGCCACAACCACCTCTAGAATCAGTATTAGATCTAGTATTAATATAGCCAAGGTTGGTACCAAAAGCAAAAAGAGACCTCTGGGCACTTAGAACTTTAGCTTACATCTACTGATCTATTCTAGGGCATGCGCATAACGTTCATCCGATCTCAGCGATTTTTAATAATTGCAGCCTCATTCATTTCCCAAATTGGCGCCGACGAGGGCCTTTTTTATTGGCTATTACTGGCCGCCTTTCACTCAATGTATAAGATATTGGTGCGAGGAGAAAGCTTGTGAGTTTCCGTTTGATCCAGGCAATACCAAAATCATGATATTTCAGTCAAACCCTCTAATATTTGTTACAATTTTTTCAGCATCCTTAAAGTTAAGTAGATCTAGTCTATTTCACTTTTTTAAGTTTGAAAAAATCTTATTTTCGTCATTTATAAGGTACAAATCAGAAATTTATTCTGAAATGTTCATTGATTATTCTTTGTATGTGTGTGCAATGCTGTGTGTGCGTCACTCAGTTACGTGTGAAGTGCGTCACCTGTTTAAAGCATGACATGTCGGTATGTCATTACGTATTGGCATTAGTGCTGTAACATCACGGATATCTCCAATTCCGTTTAACCGCCAGTCAAAACTGGACGGTTTTCGGTGTTAACAATTTCGGTTTTAAACGAAATAAAAAAATTTTAAAAAAATTTGTTTTTGTTTTTTTGTGTGTGTTGTTGACCGAAACCACTCAAGCGGATCGGCCAATGGGAGTGCGTAAACTCACTGCACAGCACTCAATGCGCAAAGTTCTACCTGCTGGGACTGGTGCCAGCTCCAGAAGCATTGGTGGTCCCTTTTTGCTAAAACACTACACCATTTCTGTGCTTAAGGGGGGGGGGTGGTGCAAATTTTGGAGGGGAAAACAAATAAATTAGTGCTCACCTCCCCCCCCCCTCCCCCACTGAGCAAATTTTCAGCCAGCACGATTTGCACATTTTCGGGGGCAAACAAATTTTAAAAATTATTGCTCCTTGCCCCCCAAACAATACACTGCAAATACATTTAAATTGTGAAAAGTTCATTTCATTTCAGTAAATCATGGGAAGAGCTCACTCCCAGCTTCTTCTGATTCTGCTGACCTTTGGTGCGATCTTCGTCGTGTTTCAAATCTACGTTCTGAAATCAACATGGATGCAGGTGGAGGATATGGGCAACGTAAAAAATAAGAAGGTGAGAAAAATTAAAAGTGACCAAAGAAGAGCAAGAGTAAAAGAAAATTCTGTAGAAGAGTCTAAGGTTCGATAAAGTTAGCATTAAGTTTTGAAATCCTGAACAAGTTAAGGTCAAAGTGACCACTTTTTGTAAATAGGCCTGCTTAAAGTTGATTAATCATTATATAATAAATTCTTCAATCATCATGCTACTGAAAAACTATTAAGACCTGCAAAGGCAGCAGAACTTAATGCTGTCTAGATAGTTTGCAGAGAAAGAGTTGTCTTTACCGTTACTATTTACTCCTATATCCACAAATGATTAATTTTTCCTTTTCTTTTTCCATCAGAAGAGAAGATTTGATGACTGGACTCCACCTCCTGACTATGTGAGTAACACACATCATTTCCCTTCTCAAAATTGTACTTCTTTGGAAATAATTATTATATAGTATTACCTCTACTTTTAAGTCCTAAGTAAGCCTGGATGAATGGAACCAAACAAAACACACTCGATGTAATATTCTTTCAAAAGAAAAAAGCTACATGCAGTATACTATAAAATACAATTGATAGCCTATCATGTAAAAAAGTTGTTTCCTTAGATTTGGCATGTTAATCTGTCAATAATTATGAGGTTGTTAGCATCCTTACTTTTTACCCTTAGATTAAAGCTACCTATTATAAATGTAGATGGCTAGATACATTTTCAAAGATTTTAGTAATATCATAACACCTCGCCTTTATGCTATACACTTTAACGGTGATCCCTAATGTAAGTTTAGTTTTGCAATTGAATTTGGTTAGCATGGGAAATCAATGTGGAGCAATTGTCACAGGAGTAAGGATCATACAACCACTTTGCTACCCATGCAGATCACAGTGGAAGCATTCACCAACATAGCTCAGGAGTACAATGTTCCAGTGTTCCTGATTGAACCAGCCATCTTAGAGTCAGTGTGGGCTCACAGGACGGGTACAAGACCTTCCAAGGGGCGATGCAAGTTCCTCTGTAGAGGTACAGACTCCACTACATTTGGTATCATCTCTGGCCATTGGATCACACAGGTATGAAACTGGCGGTTTTTGTTGACAAGAAGCTAAAGTTACTCTGGAGGTCATGACTTTCTTGTGGGTAATTTGTTAGCTGGCTTTTGCTCGAGGGCATTATTGTAGAAATTGAGAATTAGAATTTGGTGACTGAAATAGTTTGTTATAATTTACTTGCATAGACATATTTAGAGACTGTCTTTATCAAAGTTCATGCAGTTTGTGATACTGATAGCTGTTTTTCCTAAGCTGATGAACTAATCCATTTCCAGATATTTGCAATGATTGGTCTCTCTAGGCAGGTGACCATTTCATAGAGATGACTACTAAAAACATTCTTGACCCTGTCTTCCACAGAATTTCCTGGATGCCCTTTGGAGAAGTGGCTTCAGGTCTTCCCTCTCGAAGGGCAAGGACCCCAGGCTCCTATCTGTCAACGAACTGGTCCCACCCAGCATCATCCCTCAGCACTACTTCTTCCAGTATGAGACACACCTCGTCCACCTGGTGGTCCTGTATGAGAGGGCGGAGTCTTACCTCTGGCACGGTGCCGCCTCAGATGGGGAGTGGGAGCCGGGGCGTGACGGGCAGTTTCTATGGTTTCCGCTCAAGACTCTACCATTTGGCGGGGAGCGAGAGGGCTCATTTCAAAAGTAAGCTGGAGATGCTCTCCTTTTGACACAATGGTTGAACTTGAGGCTCTTCCAAGGTTTATTTTTAGAGGAGAGGTAAAGAGGGAAAGATAGTTTAACTTGTGAATGAAGTGATGTAATTTTTTAAGACAGACAGAACTGCGGTAGTATTCTTGAACATATATGTTTGATGATTTTTTTAAGATGACCTAGCATTTTAATGATAAAATTTATAGGATATTTTTTGATTAAGAACTACTTAGTAGATCTTAAATTCTAAAATTCTTAGTCATGGAACTGTCATCAAAATCAAATCTCAAAAACTCAACATTTCATGTCAAAATATTAATTCCTTTGGCTTGGCATTCCATCTTCCAATCATCTAATTGCCACATTACCTATGGTGAATGCAAAGTATATACAAATTCTGTAATTGATAGGCAACATCATATGTCTCATATGAAATTTAACTTATCTGCTACATTTTAGAATGGAGTTTGCAGACATCAAGATAGACGGTGTATTATTGACAGTCCCAAAGCACCCAATGAAACTGACGCAACAGGTGCCAAATTCTACCTTCATAGAGTGCAATTACCAGCAGGCTAGGGAGTACCTGGCAGAGAATGGCGTGGACGATACTCCCAAAGCTGCTGATTTTAGAACCAGAGCCAGATCAATCCTTGAGAGGGGCATGATGGCTTTGGATGGTATAGGGGCTCCATTTTGGATTAGCAGTGGAACATGCTTAGGTATGTTGTTGCATACTTGCCTCATGGTATAAGACATTAACAACTTATAAGTGTAGAGTATATGAGCTGGTTTCTTCCTATGTTACGAGGCTTATGGAAATCATATTATTCAGTCGTTAGTAGGAATCAGCAGACTATTAACATTTTGGGAGGATTGGAATAGAAATGCAATACCCCAGAAAGTCTAAGATCTTCACAACTATTAGTCTAACTTTTCTCATTATTGCACACCCTCCCTCTCTCTATTTCTCTCTCAGTAAATGTTCCACGTAGCACTTGTCATTTAATTGAAATACCAATAAATTGTGTCACGATATTTTGCATGAATTGATATTTTCTGGCTTTATTTATATGCACAAAAGTTTCTGTTATAAGTAAATCATGCTTACATCATTGTCTATCCTCATGCAGGTTGGTTTAGAGAGTGCAATATTATCGCCCACAGTATGGATGTAGACTTGGGCATGCGTATCCAGGATTATAACGACAGGGTAATACCAGCAATGGAAGGCCAAGGTCTTCAGCTTCTACATCTATTCGGAAAGGTACAGATTATCCTTTTGCTTTCAACCACAGGATAAATCCCCCTCTCTGTCTTGCTTTTAAATGTATTGTTCAATATAGTCAAGTGATACTGAAAGTGCTTAGTATACATTGTGGTCAAATTTATCTTATCAAGCTTAGAAATCATTGAAATGTTTTCTTTATTATCAATGTTGTTCATAACAACTTTGGACCCATCTAGCACCATAGCCTACTGAAATTTCAAATTTCAGAAATGGATCTGAGTCATGTCGGGATTTTCATAAACCGGGTCCCGACGGCGTTGCACCGATCGGGACCCGTGTCCCGAAATCAGCTCGCAGGATTTGTCACTTGCCTCTATAAAAAGCGCATATCATCAGTATGTCCCTTAAAAGTGACTTTTTTTATCAATCAAATAAATCAACACATGCATACCTCGGCTCAGATCGGTATATTCTTCCATTTGACATTATTTTCATCCATGATTGGCGATGTTTAGTGCCATTATCGTGCCTCTAAAAGTAAAAAAAAATGGGGCAGAAATGGAAAGACAACATTCGAGCCGCCATTTTGATTCATGCAGGTTGAATACATCTGGTAAAAAAATATGAATGTTAGAATAATAAAACGGCTTTCTAAAAAATTCTTCTGTACAATATACCGATCATATAATATTTAAAGACAAAATAAATATTTATCTTATTTTAAACATCGCATGCTTTTTTTTTTAAAGCTGAAATTTCTTGGTAATCACAAGAAGTTTCGATACGGATAGCTGTTGCAAGGCAAGTTCAGACTAGTCTCGGAAAAATGCGCAGTGCTCCTCGTAATTAGCTGTAATGCGTGCCAGAAAGAACCCAAACAAAGACGTGATCGTAACGAGAAAAAAAATCATTAAAAACTACGAGAGCACAATTGGAAAGACAACTACTGCTCAAAATTACCATAATCAGATAGATAACTTGGACAAAGAATTTAATAATCGCCCAAGAAATGCCACAGAAATTGTGATAATCGAGGAGTAACTGGGTATACATTTTTATCGCAAGGGGCCTGCTGCAAATACTCGAATCCTTTGTTATACTGCTTTTTACCGTAGAGGGCCTTATTTGGTTTCTAGCCTCGTGTTCAATTTAAACACGTGTAATTCGGATATCGCAGCAGCTAGGCCCTCTCGATAATGATTGTACCTATAGTAACTCCTTAAATATCACTATTTATGTGGCTTTTCTTGGACAACTATTGTATTCTTCCTCCAAGTTATGTATCTGCTTTCGATAATTTTGAGTAGTTGTCTTTCCAATTGTGCTCTCGTAGTTTTTAATGATTTTTTTTCTCGTTACGATCACGTCTTTGTTTGGGTTCGTTCTGGCACGCATTACAGCTAACGAGGTGCACTGCGCATTTTTCCGAGACTAGTCTGAACTTGCCTTGCAACAGCTATCCGTATCGAAACTTCTTGTGATTACCAAGTAATTTTCAGCTTTAAAAGAAGCATGCGGTGTTCAAAATCAAAGAAAAAAATATTTTTTTGTCTTTCAAAAATTGTTTGATCGGTATGTTATAAAGAAGTACTTTTTAGAAAGTCATTTTATTATTCAAACATTAATGTTTCTTTCAACCTGATTTATTAATCCTGCCGAGAGACCCGGCCAGTACAGTAGCTAGCTAGCAGCTAGCTGGCAACAACAACCCCATGGGGCGAACTGCTTTGTAACCCATATTTATATCAGCAGTTCGGATTGATTCAGGATGAGCTAGAATATGATTGGTAACAATTAAAAACTTAAGTTTTAAGGTGGATTGATTGTAGTAGTGTGCAAAACTGCAATTTCTTACATATTTCATTATTTTTTTCGGAGCGTCGGTTCTCAAAAAACGAAACCGGGACCCGACGGCAACGGTCGGGTCCCGGTGTGACCGACCGTACCGACTCAAGCCTAGATAAAATGTTATTTTACCTTCCCCTGTATCTCTTGTACACTATATGCTGTTTGTTTGTTTTCTTTTCTTGTCCTGTAAATAATTGTATTTCAACAAAAATGTCTACATCTTTGAAGAAAACAACAATGAGGGGACTCAATAAAATTGATTTAAAGTTAATAAATCATTGAACTGTTTCAACTATGGTGTAAATCCTGTGAGAAATTATGGTTGTTTTTATTTGTATTTCAAAGTTTTTAGTTTGATCCCATCACCTGCAGAGCTTAGAAACCTTATTAGCACTATAATTGAATGCCCTGTTTCCATAAACAAGTGATAGTGGGTCTAACTGCAGGAAAAATACAACCAGATAATCTTTTCTTTTTCCCCCTTTTTTCTTCCCCACAGGTAGAGGACAGTTTTGAGCTGTCTTTTGCAAGGGATAGCATCAAGTTAGACATATTTTTCTTCTATGAAGATGATGACTTTATATGGAATGGCGGGACAGATGCCCATACTGGAGACAAATATCAGTAAGTAGAATTACATGAAAAATGATACTTTTAAATAATAAAGCTCTGTTGTTACATAATGGCATCAGGTCCATATAACCTTTTTTGAGCAGGTGGAGGATTAGTTTCTAGTTCTATGCTCACATCATTTCAGATAAGGAAGGGGTAATGGTAACACAATAGAACCGAAACCTAATCCCAAATAAAAACTTAAACCATAACCCCAAACCTTACTCTAACTCTTACCCTAACTCTATCTCTAATACCTCAGTCACACCAACAAGACCGACACCAGACCAAAAAATCAGTTGCATTGCTCTGAATGGTCACAAATTGGTCGGTTTGAAGTATGTATGGAGTCAGTGTGGCAGTGTGAGTGCGGTATAACATTGTATTAGCATACAATCATTTTGTCGATATCTGGTCATGTTCTAGTAGAGCTTTCAATTACAGATCTTCAATTAAAATTCAATAAGTTTATATTTTTGGTTTAGGATATTTTCTTGGATTTTCCCAAAATCAAAATAAAACTGTAATGTGACTGAGATGTAAGACAATTTAATTTTAACCCTTGTTACAAGCAATAACTGTTAAAATCCCTTTTTTTTCCATATCCTATCATATCACTTATCGTTAATTCTTTTTTTTTCTCTTTAGGTATGTGTTTCATCAATTTGATCTGTGCTGGACAGAGCTGGTAGGTCTGCATGTGCGGATCCCCTGTCCCACCCTGCCTTACATCGAGGCCAACTACGGCACCGAGTGGGATCAGAAGGTCACTCAGTGGGACTGGAAAGAGAGCCCGCCCAACGTGAGACCCAATGGAGTCTGGGAGAAGGAGGAGTGGCCGTATGTTATCCAGACGTTTCCGATCATGTGATAAGGTAGACATTTTGTTTTTCTTCGCATGGATGATACGCTGAGCTGTGTCGCACGGAAGGCGGTGATAAAGATGATCTTATCAGAGTCGGGAATCCATACCAGTGGACTTGTGGCTTGAAGTCCGATGTGAAGAACTTGGTCTTGGTAAGTGATGGTTATTTGGTTTTGAACCTAGGACCTAATGGTGATGAGACCACTGCTCAATCACTAAGCCATCATGTGTCCTAGATCAGTCGCAGTCTAGAAGCAGAGTCCCAGTGGTATTCTACTGGTATTCAGCAATGGTCACAGTTGCAGCTAAAATGCAGTATAGGTAAAATACTGATTTGCCAATGTTTGGAGAACTCTTTGTGCAATGGGAGGTTGAATTGCACTGCCTGTTAGTGTTACACTGAAAGGAAAGGCGTATGTGTGGCATATTTTTTTTTATCCCCAAGATATATGCTGCATATTTGCTGTTTCAAAATCTTGTACTTGCTGCTGATCAGTTCCTCTCATATGACAAAGGTAGCCCTAAGCTATGTCTTTTGCTACACTGTGGAGTCAGCAAGCAAGCAACTTGGTTGAGTAAACATTGGCTGCGAGTCTTATGCCAAGGGGAGTCAATTTGGGGTTGATTGATAAAACTTTGTCATTGTGAAGGTTAGACATGGACATGTCTTTAAGAAATGTGTACAGAGAATGTTCATTTGTATTGAAAACCACCCATCAAATATTATAGATCAAATCAGATTGATGCACATTTGATTACGAAAGGACTCTTGAGTATCGGTGATATGCTTCAGATGCTTAGTGCTCAAGGCAGGAATTATCTGGTAGCCTCTTACCATTCTTGTCAATGGTAGTGAGGCTTGGTTACCTTTTGTAGTTTAGATATATCCAAGTAGTTTATAACAGAAAATCCATACAATTCTTTTAGTGCCAAATGTACTATGTACTTCTTATTATTTCCAAAGCATATCATCAGCTGAGAGCCAGAAGGACGTTTACTTACATCCATTAATGCATATTTAACGCCCTTCTGGCTTGCAGCTTAGATGGTACATACATGTAACAGGGTGAAATTATATATATTTTTTTCTTCTTCCTCCATTAAATAACAATGTTTGTTTTACTTGTATTGTTTGAAATCTCTCTATTTCTTTGGTAGTAACAAACTTGAAAAGGAAGTCTTACAAACGATTAGAAATCATAGAAGAAGAGAAACCTGCAGACTAATGTGTAGGTACTGGTGGATAGGTTAGAGATCATGGAGTCATGAGTAATACCTTTATGCTACGTAAGGCAAGGGTTTGAGTTATTGACTTTGTCCAGGATTGCATAGTATACAAATAATGAATGGTTATGAGTTCAATAGTGCGAATATGTTCATGAGTTGAAAGATTAACATTCTATTCAACGAGGCGTCAGCCGAGTTGAATAGAATTAACGTTAATCTTTCAACGAATGAACATATTTGCACTATTAAACGAATGAAAAACATTCATTATTTGTTTTATACAACATCGAAGAAGACCTAATAGAACGTTAATCAACAAATTATGCTTTACTCCTTATAAAGATAAATTAAAGTTCGAGTCAAGCCTTTATATGCAGATTGCCTTCGCGTCAGATACGCGCAGGGATACGCACACATGCAGCAGAGAGGTACGCAGTCTGCATATAACCAAAAATGCACGGCGCATATAACCAAAAATGCACGACCGTGCAATATACCATCTATTGAATATCATGTGACCAACAATCGTCCAATCAAATGACAAGGATCCACATAGGTGTTGTATAATACTGTATAACCAATTATTTTCGAAATTTTTGTGAATCACTCATTGATTTCAAATTTATCAACACGCAAAAATATTTCCAGCAAGTAAGCTACTTTATATACCGGTACTATAAGAGTACTTTATTTTACTTTATATTAAAAAATGATAATCATTAGATATATGTTGCAGGGTGTCCATGATATTATTCATGTTTATATATTAAATACCTTTTTACAAATTGAAATTGAACTTGAAATATAACTGGTGCTATTAACCTTTAAGTGAGGTTGAATGTATGTGTTTTTTTAATGTGGATATATATGTGATTATAATATGCTTGATTTTCAGAATTAATGTAATATGAATCTGAGAACTACTTTAATGACATCATAAGTAGCTTCTTTCAAGAATGGGACAGAGTTTGTAATAGCAACCTGATGCATTATACTTTTACATGATGGTCCTCCATTCGTGTTTGAAGAGACTGAAGTATCCCATTTTCATTTGTAATCCTCAACAAACTACGAAGTAGTGCCAAGCTTCTGCAGGCTTCTATAGTCGTATCACAGTTGACTTCTTGTCTGTATATCGCATCATTTATTTAGTCTAGTTTGTAAATTGTATTCCTTGAACTTCAGTCCATATATCTTCAGTACTGCAAAGTAGGAATTTTAACATTGTATTATATGTACTCTGTATATATGGGATTTGAGTTCCATTCATCTGTGTATGGAAAGTTTTTAAAATAATTTGTAAGACGTTGTTGCGTTACCACAGTATTATTATTGGTCATCTTTATTCCCTTCATTCAGTATTATCAAAGGTGTATATATTTGTTTTTATTTGATTTGTGCTCAGTGTTTTTGATTTGTTTTGTTTGTGCAGGTTACAAATGTATGTACATTTAAATAATGTGGGTATGTTTCTGATAGTACATGTATTCATGTCTAGAAATTACTATTGACTGATTTTGCAACTCAAATGAAAATAAAAAATTTGGGGGTTTGTTTCTTGATGTACTGGTATGTATTTGTAGGTTTTTTCCCCCTTTATATTTAGCAAAGTAATGTAATCTTGACTCTTGAATGTACCTGCAATTTACTTGCCAAGTCCATAGTAATAGTTCATAAACACATTTCTTGAGCAATCAAAACCATGCCAATTTTTATTTGAATAACCATGACAATTTCATAAAACTACTTTAATTACAATTTCTGCAGCCTTTGGGAAGGCTTGATTTCTAAAGTAAGGTTGTGGTTAGGGACTATTAAAAATGTTATTGGTAAAGGTAATTCTCAAATGTTTATATAAAAACCCTATACAATGAGATATGTACATTGTAGTAGTGACCCTTCTATTAGGGTCATCTATCTGTAGTGTTCACTTATTTTGTCACCATCTTAGAAGTAATGTGTTCCAGAACCTTTCTTCAGAGGTCACTTATAATTTATTTTTCTCTCAGGTGGTTTTTATAGACAGGTTTGTCTGTATATCTGTCAGAGGGCAGGTCCAAGCTATTTGGATTGTGACGTACGGGACATTCAAAGACTTTAAATAAGAAATAACAATAGATGAAATTATTTATATGGCTATCTTTTGGTATGAGTCTGTGGCTATTATGGGCTTGTTCATTTGTGGAAAGTTTTAGTTCTGACCAACTCTTTAATTAATTTTTAATGTAATTAATGTGCTGCGTGACGTACGGGATGCTGCAAATCTGTTGTTATTCTTGTTTAAAGTCTCTGAATGTCCTGTACGTCACAATCCAAATAGCTTGGACCTGCCCCAATATGTCCTTCCTTAGCACTCCATAAGTATTAGTCTCTATTTATTTCTCCTTTCTTGATGCACTTTCACCTTATATAACATTGTATTCATCTTGTATTTCATCATGCACACCTACCTAACGTCTTTGAAGAAAAATATTTCATGTTGACTCTCTCTATATTATGTATATGTAGATTATAAAGTACTAATAGTTGATATGTGTTCTGTACTATGGTGGTATTATGTATAAATTGGAATTAGTTGTACATATATTTGGTCAGTGAAAAGGTGTATTTCATTATCATGATCATGTTTATTATAGAATTTATGTAGACTAAAATATCAGAGGTAGAATATATATATTCAAAGTAAGATAATGCAAATTGATCAAAGGGAGGTCTTACAATAATTAAGTGCAAGACTATCAATGTGCCTAATATGAAATAGTAACAATTTATGCATGAATTGCATAGATAGTGCCAATACAGAAGAATTATGATTATGATCGAAAGTTAATCAGATGTAATGTATGTGATTTGGGATATTTTTATTTGGTATTACATGTATAAGGTATTTTGTTTTGAGTGTTACTTTTATTGTATCCATAAATCTTGTCTTCATACAGCCACTACTTCTTTTTTTAACTCTCTGATTTTCTGTATTTCTCCCCTCTCTCTCTCTCTCTCTCTCTCTCTCTCTCTCTCTCTCTCTCTCTCTCTTTCCACTTCTTCTCTCTCTACATTTTGCCTGCCCAAAATATCTTTGGACTTCTATTTTGTTTCTTCTCTATTGCTATTTGTATTCTTCTCGCTTTCTCTGCCTCTCTGTACTGTCCCTGTCTTTAAATTTCCATTTTTCTTTCTCTCTCCCTCTCTCTCTCTTTTCTCTCCATGTATATTACAAATACAGTAATCCCTTGTTTTTGTCTTGTACTTTAACATTTGGTGTTCACCCAGAGTAATCACCACATTGGGTTCTATCACTTTTCATCCATAACTGGCAAAACTATTCACTTTCATTATTAGCATGCTAAGGAAAAGGTTTATTTATTTCAGTAACACTTTCACATTGTAATTGGCAAATTAAGTTACAAGGTCACAGTACTAGCCTAGATAAAGAACAGAAAGCAGCTACATTTGAAAATACAAGTACTTCAATACAGTATTGTATTGTGACTACTGGTAAATATTTGCAGGAGAATCAATACAGGTAGTGGGCATATGTCTAGTTGTACATTAACTGTTTTAATACATATTTATGTATCTACATGTAGTACTACCTCATATTCATAGGTACTTGTATTGTTGTATATTTGAATGTATTAGAGACTTCGGAGGTAAGCACTTTATAAGCACAGTTTTTATTATTATTATTATTATTATTACCTTCTCTTTTAGTTCTTGTTTAATTTAGTACTGTTTCTATTGTTACAACTCGGTTATATCTCAGAAATATTTGGTTGTCATTATTCTATGTATAACAAGTACTGTCGTCATTCTACTCTTTTTTTAGTGATTGTAGCTGTGAAGAATAGATAGCTTTCTATTTATACTCCAGATTAATTATGTCAGTTATGTACTTGTGATGGCAGGTGATGTATCCGCAATGTGAATTTTGTTTAATGTATACGATAAAATGTAACAAAATTGTAACAGAGACTTGGTAAAATACCAATATTGTTTAATTTGTTTTAATGCTTCCAGCTATGAGCTTGCCAAAAGCCAATTTGGTTCAATGACATGACTACACAATCTCATTTTTTTAAATAATAATTTTGAATATATTTTTGATGGTAAAGTAATTTGGTTTACTGTGCACCAGTATTCTTTAAAATGTATTAATATCTTAAGGATCCTGCTTGTAAACAACAACAAAAATCTTGATCCCCCCCCCCCCCCCTCTAAGAATTCTGGTACCCTGATTATTTCATTTCCAAAAACTGCAGTGAAACAATCATTTAGCCAGTTATATTTTTAAAGATTGTTGACGAAGTATAGTATTTGTCATCATGCTGCATTTGTTATAATCCATCAAATTAATTTAACCCTTACTGTACTGGGCTATTTCGAGCACTCTCTGACTGGGGGGGGGGGCCTGGGAGGCCCCCCCCCCCTATGATCTCGGCCGTCGATTGTCCGATGAACGCGAAAATTTGCATGTTTGTAGATATTTACGTAAGGAACAAGATGGTATAATTAGTTTTTTCCTAATATGCAAATTTTTGTCGTTATAGCCTAATTAATTATGCAAAATGCTAATTTTATGCATTTTACAGAAAACTCTACATATTTGTCCGTAGACTTGTGAAGAATCTTGAAAATGTATTGAATAAATGTTTCCTTCATCTCAAATTCATGAGGTTTCATTATTTTTATGATATTTGAAAATGCATAGGTTAATTTGCATAAATTATGAATATGCAAATTACGCATTCATTAATTTAAAATCTGGAAATATACAGGGAACTAGAATCATTACAAAAATGTCAGACTCCACTTTTGTAATGTTGAAACTCATTATTCATTTGAAACTTCTTTTCTAACACAAAATAGTTATTTGATGTAATTAATAATGATAATTTATGCAAATTTGATGCGATTTTCAACTATTTATTTTCTTATGTATTTCATTGTTTTTTTTCTTCTTATTATATCTATTGTTTTATTTCTAATGTATTCTTTTGTTCTGAAATACATCAAGTTACTTTGAGAAACATATAAAAGCAATTTGATATCAATTCATATCTTCACATTTCTGCTTGTACATGAATATATGCAATTATA